GCTCGCCACACAGGCTGTTGAAAACCAGGTTTTCGACAATTTTGCATCGCCACACAGACTTTCGAAGAATTGCGGCTCAAAAAACTTTCGACAGGGATGTGTATAAGAGACAGCTCACACACACACACACACACACACACACACACACACACACACACTCACGCACACACACACACGCATCCCTTTGCTGGCGTCCATCACGTCTCCCACGAACATCGTCGTCCCAATCTCAGTCGATCCCCCGACCTTGGTCACTCGTTGCAACTCCTCCTGCCCTCCTCTCGTGCACTTACCAGCGTCCGCTCCTCCTCATGCTCTCTTCCCGTGCTCTCTTCTCGTACACTCCACGCGCCCCCTCGTCCACTTCCGTTTGCCGCTGGCGTACCTCTCCCTCCGTGCGCTGTTTACCTAGGTATGAGCGCTTCGACGTGCGTGCATGTGCACTCTCCTTGCCTCCCCCAGGCCAAAAAGTCCCCCCCCCACTCGTCCTTTGTACGTTCTGGTCGGGCTTGGACCAGGTGCAGGCCCGACCAGTTGCTGCCGCTCCCATTCCCCAATCATACCCTTCCTTCCTTCGAGTTTAACTTTGTTGGTGGTTCTCTCCAAAATTTTTGAAATTTTCCTTCTTTCCCGCTTTCAACGGCTTGCTTTTATTTTTTTTAAATTGCTCCAATCTATTCGTGGGGAGCAGCACGATGCTGGGAACCGGGCCCAGCGTCCCATATCAAAATTGGCTTGCTTTCAGTTTCAAAATTTTCCTTCCTTCCCGCTTTCAACGGCTTGCTTTCACTTTCAAAAATTCCCTTTCTTCCCGCTTTCAACGGCTTGCTTTGATCCTCCTTTCTTCCCCCTTCACCAATACCGTCATTCTTTGCTTGAACTCCCAGACCCGGTGCATCAGATTTCAACTTGGTATGAAAATTTTAGCAAAAAAAATATTCTCCCGCCATATTCGTTGGAAGCTCCCTTGCCCATCCTCTAATCTCCGCTCCTCTCCACATTCTGCCATATGGCTACTCCGCAAGGCAGTTTCCAAGTCTCGTGTGCACTCGCCCGTGCCTGCCACGGGCTCTTCTTTCATCTCTTCTACCGTTTTTTTTCTTTTATCTGTCCGCCTTTCTCGACTACATACACCCCCTCTCTTTCTCTCCACGATTGGACTCCCTTCCCATGTCTCCCTCAGCCTTGCTCTTATATGGCTTCTATCCCTGCTCCGTTCATTCCTTTTCCTCCCTGAAGAAGCTGCATTTTCTATCAGGTCGTTCATCCTTCGACAGCCAGATGTGGCTTTAGACTTGTTTCCATTGGAGTTCGAACTCAGGCCAGTATTCCAAAGGTTGTACCGGTTCAGGTAGGTCAGTCTGTGTGCCCCAGACTTCACATAGTTTGTACCCCCCTTTCCCTCCTTCGCGCCAGAACCCAGCCTCACCTGAGGCATGTGTCCACCTTTCTTTCCCTTCCCAGATTCAGACCCCTTTCCTCCCCTACTGTGGCTTGGGCCACATCAGACGAAAAGAAAAAAAAGGACTCATCTTAAACACCAATTCTGCGAGCAAAGCCGACGGCGCCACGTCCCAAGCCTCACGAGTCTGCAAGTACGACCTTCGTAAGCGGCCTGCCGTATTCCTGGCCCAGGACTAAGTGCACCGGTAAGAGGCCTGTCCCATTCCGGGTGGATTGGTGGTCGCCCAATTGAGCCCTCCCCTCTCCATCAAACATGCACACACACCGGTGTGTACACCCAACATCCTAGCACACGAGACGCGTCACACATCCACATCCGAGTTCGCATATGCCTTTTCATCTTCACGCATACCCACAACACGTAGTTAGTTGGACTCTGCGCACGAACCCTATACACATATTTTATGGAAGCTTCCTCACACACATGCACTGTCGGTCATATAGTGGTCCAACGCCTACCGCCTTGCGCGCATAGCTGTCGGCTAGCATGATACGCCCAACTCCTGGTATCTCGTCCAAACCACTGGAACTTGCGTCAGCCACGCACCATACACTCAGCAGATTGTTGACAACCCTTCATAAAGTCGTAAACGTAATAGTCGGTTGTGGTTAGCCTTACAGGATTCGACCTTGTAGAATTATGTCATGATTGGCAGCCCTTGACGAGCCCTTTTAATCTTGTCATCCGACCCTTGCCCCCGTACACCGTGGCCCATTACCAAATTTTCACCCAAAGACCCAATGCATAGAAAAAAAAAAGGGGCTCTCCCAAGCCCCCTTTTTCGCCGCCTTCACACTACTCGCCCATACCTTACATGAATACCCTGCTCAAGTCCCACAAACCCCAATTCAACCCAATTCTTCCAAGCATAACCCAAAAAAAAACCGAAACAAGCAAAGACAACTAGCCGCATAGGCAGAAACAAGCATAAGCGTTCAAAAGGAGGGGTCCGGCTGGTAGGCAACAGCCCGACAGCAGTACCTCCTCCCTTTCAGAGGGAACATCATTGCAGGCTCTGATAATGTCCGGACAGGCACTAGACTCAGGCTACTTGGACTGGTAGTGGCCTACCTCTAACTACTGGGCCTAACTTTTGTCTTCTTCTGCTCAGCCTTCAGTACCCGACGCTTCTACCACTACGTGAGTCGTACCGGCCTACCTGCTACTTGAGTGTTTTGCCCTCTGCTCTAAGTGTCGCGGGCCTACCCCCGCTACTTGAGTGTTTTCACTGCTGCAACGCTCAAAGTCACGGCCACAGGTAAGTACCGGCCCTGCAGGGCTTTCAACCAGCAAGTACCCTTGCGGGTCACATGCACATTCAGGCCGACAAGCACTCAGACAGGCACGTAGACCAGCAGGCATGCACAGACACACAGACTTAGAAATCACAGCAGAATGCGGGAATCTCAGCAAGGCATCCATTCCAGCTGCAAATCCCAGAAATCAGCAGTGTTCTCAGTCTGTGTTTTGGCGGGTCATTACAACTGTATCCAATGTCGCCACCAATGTCGCCCTTCTTGATTGGCGCTCAGCGCCCAGCCTACCTCTACTCAGAGCCTATGCTAGCCTACACTTGCAACCAGGAATCACTTCCAGCCGAAGACCGATGTATGTGACGAAGTCAACCATGCAGACTGTCACATACATGAGGTACGTGTCTCCACTCTCTTTCTCTCTCTCTCACCACGTTCGCCTTCCCACCTTGTGCGACTCTTCCCCGAAGACCCCTCCCCAAAGACCACCAACACCAGCATCGCCGTGATCAGGCCTGGATATGGCCGCTCGCGCCCGCTGCTCCAGCAGAGCCCCTCTTCACTAAGAGCGGAGTGCGCCCTTCCAGCGAGCTCCCAGGCAGCCAGCTCGTGCTGTGATCCAGCAGCATGGCCGCGAGGTTGCGCACAGCCAGAATGCGTCCCAGGGCATGGCACTTTCCTATATGGAAAGTGCTGGCCTGTTTCAGCAGCCTGGGCCTGGAGGCCATGTTGCCTGTAGCCTGGCTTCGGGCCAAAGTGTCTACGCCCAGGCCCAGTGCAGATCATGGCCTGGGCCTGCATCAGTTAAGCAGCTCAACTGTGCGACATGGCTGCTGTCACTCGCTGCTTCCTCATTGGCCGAAAGGCCTCTTGTCACGTCGCTGCCTGGAAGAGCCTCAAAGGCTCTTGATGCTGTGGTCACACACGCCTGGGGCCCATAACCAACTGGCGCATGGTAACTGTCTGGCACTCCCACTTTCCTGAAAAATGCCCCGCGAAAGTCAATGCAGGCCCTCCGGGCACGAGGCTTGCTGGGGGCCCCTTCATCGTCATCTGCTGAGGCCGAATGGCCTTGCGAGGGTCTCAATCCTCGCAAATGAAAAAAATTACAAAAAAAGCAAAGAAAAAAAAACATCTTAAATACTTCAGACAAGATATCTCTAATTATTGTGTGTGTGTGTGTGTGTGTGTGTGTGTGTGTGTGTGTGTGTGTGTGTGTGTGTGTGTGTGTGAGAGAGAGAGAGAGAGAGAGAGGTGTGTGTGTGTGTTGAATGCGTACTGGCCCAACTGGGACATCAGGGAGGAGGGAGAGAGAGCAGGGGAAGGAAGGGGGGGGGATGGAGAGAGTGTGTGCCATGTTTTCGTTTTTTTGCTTTTTTCTTGCACTCCCTAATGTGCATGCATCTGTTTGATTTTAAATGTCCTTGTTGTGTATTACAGATTTCTGGCTATTGCTGGTGAAGCCCCAACAGGCGATTAGTCCAAATATTGCTTGATGCGGGATTGCTGTTGATGAACTTTATCAGGGGGTGGGTTTGTGCACTGAACAGGTGTCAAGTCTAATATTGTTTGATGCGGGATTGCTGTCGATGAGCTTTGTTAGGTGGTGGGTGAGGAGCCAATGCCGTTCTCCGACAATTTGGTACGTCATGGTTGCCTTTGACTGCTAATTGCATGTGTGTTCTTCTTCAGAGTGATCAGGAGGCACTCTTTGATTGCCTTATGCAAGATGTGGGCTTCAGCAAGGATCACCCAGTGGCTGCTGTTATAATTTTCAAGTGTCTCCTTCAGTGGCATTCCTTCGAAGCGGAAAGGACAAATGTGTTCGACCGCATCATCAATGCCATTCAGACGGCAATAGAGGTTGGTGCCTTATCAGCTTGTTTTGCAGAACAAAGAGTACTGTTATTGCTTGTTTTCTTCTTGCTGCCTAATTGGCGTCGGCATTCCCAGGTAGAAAGAAAATTTAGCAGATTCACCGTAACCCTCAACTACGCCCAAAACTATTTGTTGAACATTATGGTTGCTCGGATCCATCAGCCTGACTGGTTGAGGCTAGTGCGTCACAGAAAGGAGGTGTAACCAGCACTCAGAGGCTCGCCACACAGGCTGTTGAAAACCAGGTTTTCGACAATTTTGCATCGCCACACAGACTTTCGAAGAATTGCGGCTCAAAAAACTTTCGACAGGTGTCAGAATGGTCCTTTCGACAGCCGCCCGCCAGCAACCGTTTCCACCAGCCTGCAGGTGACGGAAATTCGACAGTGGCCCGCCGACCTCTCGAAAATTTCGAATTTGCGTTGTCAAGGGACTGCTCCGTCAACTTCCGTGAAACCCGTCCGGGTGGCCATGACCAAAAACCTTACCCCTCACAGCCTGTGTGGCGAAGGGGGGGGAAATTGTCGACAGCCCGACCGTCGAAAATTTTCTGACACCTGTCGAAAGTTTTCGGCATTCGACAGCCTGTGTGACGAGCCTCTCAGTGTGTGCCTGTTTTCAATCTTTTGCAGGCAAAAAGAAAGTGGCTTGATTTTTCTTTTCTTTTTCCCTACCAAAGTGGAACCTACTGTACACCGGTGATTGTATTGAGAACAATCGTCAAGATTGATGAATTTCACGCCCGGCCATTGGTAAGCGCGCTAACGCAGCGCTAATTTGTGCTAGGCCCGCTGGGCCAACACCCACGAGGCACGCTCGCCCTAGCGGCATTGCCGAAGCTGTTTAACGGCCGCCCGCCCGCCAGCTCCCCGCCGCGTGATGTTTCCCGCGCGAACTCGCCCCTTCGAACTTTGGACCAGGGGCCTCGGCCCACATGCACTGTGTAGTGCCTGAAAACTACACGGTGTGACAGCGGAGAGCAGGAAATGTACATCCGCAATATTGTCTGTGCCATGGCTCCACGCCATGTGTTACGGTGGTCCCATCATTGTTAAAAACGTGCAGCAAGTGAGGGTGCGGCCGATCTTCGCAGGAGGCCATATAGAGTGCTGCCTTTGATATCCAAAGGCTTATGGAAAAACAAGAATCCCCACACTCGGCCCAGAGGCATTTCCTGAGTAGTGATTTGAACCCCAAGTAGGGGAGAATCAGACTGTGAGTCTCTGAAAAAAGAAAAAAAGAAAAAAAAGAGCTTTTCTGAAACGGCGGATTCGAACTCTCGCCTTTGTGATCCCTTCACTTTCGGCCTCACTGCACTACTCTCCACATGCAAAGAAGTGTAATGACCCGTCATAACACAGACTGAGAACACTGCTGATTTCTGAAGTTCTGCTGATGGAATGGATGCATTGCTGAGATTCCCGCATTCTGCTGTGTTTTCTAAGTCTGTCTGTGTGTGCGTGCTTGTGACCTGCGTGCCTGTCTGAGTGCTTGTCGGTATGAGTGTGTGTGTGACCCGCAAGGAAACTTGTTTGTTTGGCAGGCCCATAGGGCCGGGACTTACCTGTGGCCGTGGCATTGAGGGTTGTAAGTGGCGAAGCTAGCGGCCCCGCGGCCCTTGTGATAGCGGAAAAACACTCAAGTAGGCAGGTAGGCCGAAACTGCACCCCACTGCAGTTGGCGTGAAGGGGTACCGGAGGCCGAGCAGAAGAAGACAAAGTTGGCATTTTTAGAGTCCAGTAGCGGGAGGGTAGGTCTAGGCTGGTACCAGTCCAACCAGTCTGAGTCTAGAGCCTGTACGGGTAATATCAGGGTCTGCAATGATGTTTCCCTCCGAAACGGAGGAAGTACCGGTTGCTTGGGGAGGCCGAGCGGCCTGGAAGTCACCGCCCAGGAGGCAAGCAGGCCGCTATATCAAGAGGCCGGGTGGAGAGCCCAGCCTCATTCTTCAGTGTGCAAGTTTGGCGACACGCTGCTGGAGCGCTGGCTGGAGTGGC